GGGGGGGGGGGGTGAAATGAGAAGGGGGCAAGTAGGGCATCCAACAGCGAAAACTCAACATACAATATCATGTTGCAACAGAAAAAACAGGGAGAAGGAGCGACAGAAGAAACGCTCAATCTGAGATGAGCCATGTAACGTGCGGCCCCGCGTACAAGCTTTTTGTATGTCTGAAGCCCGCCCGAAGGTAGGGTTCTGGCTTGGAAGTACACCAGGGTAGGCGGCTGGAAACCCTACGCAGTCGATGTGGATGCTCTTTCAGCGCTTGGCCACGATACATCAAACACCTAATTTACGCCGCCCCGCGCTACCTTTTGCATCCAGGTCCTCCTTGTCGTATGAGACCGGCACCCCCAACAACTAGAGAACACAAAAAACATCTCTGTAGATACATCGCATAGGTTTCGACGCTTGACCCAGACTGCAAGAGAGCCTGGATACACTATTTCCAACTCTTGTGAGGGTTTCCATCTAACCAGCGTTTCCGTTCCAATCAGACATGAGAAAAAAAAAAAAGGAAACACCACGAGCAGCTACAAAAATATATACATGCAGTAGGGGGCTGATACAAGGCCGCCTACAGTAGTCAAAGGAGAACACGAGAGCAGCTACAGAAACTAAATATGCATGCAGTAGGGGGCCCGACACAAGGCCGCCTACAGCAGTAGTGCCGCAAAATTTTACTGGCATTGTACCGGGGCACCCGGCACTATGCAGGCTATGAGACAAATTGAATGTTCCAATCTGTGCCAAGCAATCTCACCGGCCTGATATCGGGCGATCGACCATCTTCATGCGGCCTTCTATACGGGGCCCCCTACTTCGTACCACTTGCACGCGATAGAAAAAAATAGCACCGGTACTCGAGAATGAAAAAATCTACCAAACTCCACCACCCGAAAATGATCCGTCACCCAAATTGGAGATGCACAACATTTACCGAGTGCTTACACAGCGAAAGCAACAATTAATAGAGACCTGACGCAAACTTCCAAGAATACCTGGACAAGCGAGGAAAACACTTGTCTTTCTTAACAAAAAAAACACATAAAACACATTCGTTTCGACTGAGGTTATTTCTCGAGAGGGCAGTCTTTCTGTGGAGTGATGTTTAGACTACACTTTCTAAAAGAAACAAGCAAGGCCTACCTCCAGCGTGCACGTGAGCCACGAGTCCAGCTTGTTGCTCCCGTACTGCGCGAAGCACCGCGTCGCGCACTCCTGTTCCCCCTTACATCGGCCGAGGCACGTGACGCCCTGAGGAACAGGAAAAAGACGAGACAAATATATGATTGAGACAAGCGATAAAAAACGAGAGACGTGCGATTACGAGGGACCGACCACGGAAAAATAAGGCGGCGGAGGGGAGCATGTAATGACGTGAGGCAGAAAACGCCGACCAAACCAACTTTAACGCTTCCATGCGAATAGAAACACGTGCAAAAAATCCCGATCAAGCGCCTCTCTCAGGCCGTGGTTGCAAAAATAAAAAGCCATCCCCGGTGCTCGGTAGGACTTTTCGTTCGAAAGAGAGAGCGAGGGAAACCACCCCTCTCTCGTGCATTTTATTTTACAACATGTACAAGTATTTGATTCGATATTTTTTCAGGTTTCAGGTCGTAAGTGTTTTCCACAGCAACGCTGCACGGCACGGTCAGCCCCGTGTATCTAGCTAGCCTGGAGGCGAAACCATGTAGCCATAAATACAAATAGCGTACATCGAGTGTACGTACGGCGCTATGATGGTGCAGCCATCCAGGGTACAACAAGAGTGTACTAGGGATGGGCATGCAACAGGTGTTTGGCCGCCAACCGAACACAAAAAACACACGCGCTCACATACGGTAAAATTCATTACAATGAATTGTGTCACGCTTCGCAGTTTAGCACCTGCCCCTGCTCCCCAAGCAGGGTCTGTATATGGGTCAACCGCGTTGCGAGGGAAGTCAGTCATCAACTCGACAGCAGCTGCTTTGCGCAACAATCTGTGTTCACCCCTTGCAATTCATCCGCGTCGGAAAAAATCGGACTGGCAGGTTAATGAGAGCGCGTTGTTTCTGGGCAACTGTAATAAGACTTCCAACACACCACATCAATCGGATGGGAAGGTTATGAGCGTTTTGTTTCTGCACTCATCTTACCATAGTCTAGCCTTCACTTGTTGAGACACTGCTGTAAACCAAGCGAGGAGCTGTTGGTGCAACACCAACATGACTACAAGTATCAGAGACGGCACGCAGCACCCAGGTGCAAAGCGCGCCTCGATCGCATGCATCCATGCTTTACCCGCACTACATTTTACGCAAGCTGTGGCCGCGCGGCCAAACACGTTACGGTTCAAGCAAGTGTCCCTTTGTACACGGGACAAGAGATCCACGTCAGACCCTTGGACCATTGGGACTTAAGACATTTGCCAGGAAACAAACGTTGGGTAAAGTAAACCTACTTGTATACATTGTTAGCATTAACCCAGAGTTCCGCAAGTTCAAAATTACACACGTATGGCACCGCTGCTGCACTACACACCTATCGCTAAGGCACACCCACCCGCAGCTTTGGGCCGTAGTTCAATTCCTCTTCTTGCAAGGTCCATCGTGGAGGCCGGGAAAGGACATTTCGGAAAAATAAACCAAAGGAGCGGCCCCAATTTTCGATGCCGCCGAACCCTTGGGCATGTGTTGAATGCACCACAGGGTGCAGCAACAGCAGCATCAATAGTCTACGCATGTCGTGCAGCGTCTCCGACCTCTCCACACACCAAAGACAACCTCCTACCTAGTTGTTGCTTCTTTAGCTGTGGCTACGCAGCCAGTTGAAGGCCGTAGTTTACCGCATTCGGGGGCAATACACAAGGCAGCTGCTTCCGCTTCAGGTCATATGGGGAGCAAGTTGTGGAGGGCGCGTCGTTCTCTACACGCCCGCCGGGGGCGTGAGTGAAACAAGAGAGCCAGTCTGAGGACGCAAGGGGTGCTTGAAGCGACCTCCAGGGAAAGATATCCGCCTCACAAGCGTGGGACAGAGGACTTCAATAGAGACGCGAGGAACTCCGGAAACACGCCTGTATACGGCACAATACGCAACGGCCGGTCTGTTGCCAAGTGTAAACTACCAGAGGGACTGCTGCTGCTGCTGTGGATACAGTGCTGAGAGGATCCTCTGGTTGTAGGGACGCGATGTGTAGAGAGGGAGGCTGCACATCAAAAAATACTAGATGGGAAGCACAAACTCTCCCTTCACCACGTGGCGTGTACACATTACTCTAGACTGCTACCCGAAACCAGCAACACGCAAGTACACAGAGAGAGAGAGCGGTGGCAGGCTCGGCGTGATTCAAAAACCCTGGTGATGGTAGGACACCCCTGCGGAACATATTTTTGGTTGAAAACGAATCCTTGTCGATAACGTCACACATACTCAAGCCATTTTCGAGTTTTACTCGTTTTCTCAAGCAAGCGAAACAAGCAGCGAGGACCACATGAGGCAAAATACCTTCAAGCAGCTCCCGTCCGTGAAGCAGGAGGCGGTCTCCCGCTTGCACTCGTTGGCGAAGCAGCCAACGTCGCTGTTCTCCATCTGCTGCCCCTGTGCCGCGTAATCCTCGAAGCCGTCGTATCGCTGGAGGTCTTGCACGGTCACAGAGGACGTTGGCTCGACAACTCCCACGTCTCCAAACGCAGCACCGACATCTCCTCCCGCCATCAAAAACAGACCGGCCAGAGTACCCACGCCCACCCTCTTGATCCCGTCCATCACTTTCCCCCAAGCATCCCCACCTCCTGCGTCGTCACTCTGTGGTCTTCTATGTGCGGGCAGCGGCGACGCTTGTCCGGTCATGATAGTTTTACAATCCCCACCCTGCTGTTCTCGTCCATTTTTCCCGTGCCTGCTGCTACTGCTACTCATGCTCGTCACCGACCCGCATCGGCATGGCCTTGGGCTACTGCTGCTCCTGGTGGACACTCTCAAGGCTCCTGTCGCTGCTCCTGCTGCTGCTGTTATTGTTGTTGGTCTCGCGCGAACGAGCCCTCTCCCTGCTGCCCGGCCGACGACAACGCTCGGCCCCACCCACCCCGACACGAGCACATCTGATGAGGGTGCTGTGCTCGAAAAGCCCACGACCAAAAGGGCCGCAGCAGCTGAGCGACAAGAGCTTCGGTGAGACGACGGCATGGTCAGCCGAAACAGGCGTAGAGCAGAGAGGGAGCACGCTCGCGTAGAGGTATCTTGTGTCGGTCAGGCGGAGCTTGTGTGCTGCAGCTCGCTTTTGCGGATGATCGTGTCACACGGCGTAGGTGTGCCTGTTGTTTCGCTGCTTTTCTCGCTCCAACTCCCTCTCTCTACATTCTTGTGCTCCTTCGATGCGCCGAGATTTGGTCTTCAATCCGTCCCCTGTTCCCCGCTCGCTGTTTTTTTCGGCCTCCCGAACCAACAACGTAATGTTTCGGGAAATACGTACGTAGTTGCGCCGCCGCCGCCTCAGCTGATGCTGCTGCTACCGCGCGCGTGGGCACATGTGTGAAGCATCATACACAACACGCGCGAGACTGTGAAAGGGTGGGATTCTCTGAAAGAAATCCACACCTATGGGCCGCACCTTGAGATTTGAAGATAGCATTTGCAATCCGGTCTCAGGTATAGTCTAAGCAGCCAAGCTTCTGCAGTGCACAACACGCCGGCGCCAAAATGAACCAACTTGGAGGACTTGGGGCGTACGTCTTGGTTGGAGGTGGGTACAACGCATACGCCGCTGGGCATGGGATAGCTCGCTGCACCGATTTTGAATACAGCGGTGATTTTGGCTTGGTAGCAACGGATCGAGTCTTCAAGTTCAGGGCCTGTGTTTTGCTCTTGGCTCTTGGGTGGTTTTTCGTGCGCTGCAACTTTTCGCCGCCGAAGATTTGAAGCTAAACAACAAAGTTGCAGTTGGTGGCAACGTGGAGATAGGGTAACTCTAGGCATGTCACCCGCATATTGATGTCGATGCATGTGCAAGTGGTAGCGCGCTATAGAAATTGCGTGCCATCGGAGCTGCAGTCTCAAATTGCAAGATACGTGGGCATATCCCAACATTGGTATGTCTTCAAGCTGCCGCGGCTGCTACATCTAGAATCCTCCTTTTTGTCGTGTGTAAAGCTTCGACAATGTACGCACATTTCCCCCCCTCTTCTTGTGCGTAGCTTTAGGCAGCTTCGATATGCAGCAGAACCGACGAGTAACCCCCAGCCTTGTACCATATGCAATCAAGCATATTCATCCTTCCGCACTTCTCGCATCGTTCTGTGCTGTGCTTGTTTCGCATGCTGACGGTACAAGGATATGCGTCTGCTAGTGCGCTGCTTGTCGTAGACACGGCCGTGCTCTTACTCGCCCGAAGAAGGCAATGTTGCGAGACGGACCCTCAACTGTTACGAAACCTACTGGAGACTAGCGCAAACGAAGCTTCTCGAAGCGCGGCAGGTAATAACGTAGCATGGTACCAGATCTCGGCAGTGATAACAGCCTGTTTCACACAACCACCGTGTCTTCTTGGCCTTAGGTAAGACCACGTGGCTACGTGATTATTTTGGTTTATTTTTGTACTGGATTTCTTGTCACAGGGAGATGTAGAGAGTGCTGCATTCAGGTGCTTTATTGCAACTGTCCTCTCATGAAATCGTAGAGCGGAGCTGAAATCCTAACACAACACGTCTAGAGAGTGCCGATGCTCATTGTCTTGCACCTGTTCGTCGTCATGTCTGGCAGCGTTAAATGCAAATTCTCCGTCCGCATTGGAAGACCAGTAGACCTGCTCATTGTATGCCACGGGCATCGTGCTGGGTTCTACGACATGCCGGTAGGACAAACAGACAGTGTAAACGTAGCGTTCGACACGGCGGTACGATTGGGATAAAGAATGAGAAGCGAATGACGTTTTCGCCCCGTGCTTGGTAGGAAAAAACGAAAAGCTGATCACGCACGCAAGGTGGGACGAACTTTGCCGCGCATTCTGTTGGACATGGCGACCGATCTTTCCCACCGTTGTCTTGCCCCTCGCCCCTGAATGCTCGTTCTTGGTTGAAACCTCAAGCACTAGGAAGCAGCCTGCGGTCCACGACTAAGCCTGATAACCGCCTGGTAGTTGGCGCCGTCGGACTGTGTCTGGCAGTGCTCGCAGTATCGTGCTTGGAACTCTTCATGCTCAAGGTAGGCCCAGCAGAGCATGTAGGAAGGAACACAATTCGTATTACGGTCTTGTACTCCTACTGTGAGCGGGTCCCCTCGTCCTTGAGCAGGAATTTTATCGAGCAGATACTGTTACGGACACAAAGTTCGTCATTTACCAGTACTCTTGTTGTCTGGTGTGCTCATCTATTCCAACGACGCTTGGCGCAGTATCACTGTTGTCTTGTTGTCTTTAATTGTTCAGAACACCTCAATTCGGGTGCCATATACCTACGGGCGAGAGTCTTGTAGGAGACAGTCCTTTCCTCGTGTAGGGCTGCAGCACCAGTTAATATTGGTCGTAGCGGAAATGTTCCGGAGTGCTGAAAGGATGATCGGGTCATCCATCCTGCGCGAGAAAACGATCAAAATTGGTTTCTTGCACTTTCCATATCGGGATAATTTGAGAGCAAGTGTTGTTCGTTCACAATTGGTATCCGGTGGGCCTGGTGCCGCGCTGATTTGACTCCCCCGCTGTGTTCTGTAAACCAAACGTGGAAAAAAAGCAGGAACACTGCCATGTACACGGACGTTTGGCGGCATGTGCAGCGTGTACCCGACTGCGAATAGGGAAAGGACCGAAGGTGTTTGCCGCACGAACCCCTGCGTTTGACACTTTATCGCTCTTTATTAGACCCTGTATATTAACGACCCCATTCCTTCCCTCCTCCCCGCCAATTACCGGTTCCTGTTTGCTGATGGGCCGTCTTAAATCGGAACAGCAGGGGCCTGATACTGTTCGCCCGTCTAGCCCGCTGATGGCTATTGTCGTTGCACGGCTCGTTTGTGCCGCCACTGCTGTGTTGTGGACCATCTACGCCACGCGGGGCTCTGGCCGGACAAAATCGATATGTACGTATAGGCCGGGGCGCCGTTTGGGGGATATGAGAGGCACAGCCATGATACATACAGATACCAGGGAATTCTCTTTCGGAAAGCATGGGGGCTGAAATGGTCTACGATATGTCTGGGAGACAGTTTGAGAAGGTACGGGGGGGAGGACGCGTCCCTGTTTCGGCTTCACCCTGGCAATGTCTTCGCAATACTGCGCCTCTGTGGCAAGGTATGCTGTCGCAGGATAAGGTTTTCGATCTTGCAAGAGCGCAAACGGGACTCCACACAACGGAAGGCAGTAGCCTTCGCAGGATTTTTCGATTATGTAAACATGTTGGATACAGCATACAATCGGGAAAGTTGGATTGTTAGGAAATAGGGTCTGCGTCCCCCCTTCCTGTTCATATATACCATTACCTTCAACTTATTAATCTCGCGAAGGCGGTCCACGGAAGAAGAGGTGTCACCGGCGGTACTAGCATCTCCTGCGTCTCCTTTGGTAGCCCAAAAGCAAGCTACAGCTGTTGTCGTGGCGCAGTCGGTCTGGGAAGGATGAAGACACACGAACAGTGGCTTGCACTGTGCAGACAGCAAGAGCTATTCCTCACCCCGAAACGTGCTTCCGTTGTTCACAGCGCATCTCCGTTGTGAGGCTGGCATGTACGGACGTAGGGCCGCCCTCACGGCCGTCGTGATAGCTTGCGGAGGCCTTTTGGGTCTCGCACTCCTGTGGCGATCCGTTCGGCTGGCGGCCTTCGCGCTAGGTGGCGGGGCAGCCCACGTCGATGACACCCTGGTGTACATGGAGGGGTTGTGCGCGGTCGGGTAAGGGGAGAATCTCGAACCAGCTGTTGAATCGCGAAATTTCGTCCAATATTTCATGTTTTTAGTTGGCTGTAGCAAAACGATGTTGCTTGTTTGTTACGTGGTGGGGGCGGCAAAGATATTCGCATAGTTTCTTCTTCACGAGCCCACCAATACGTACGTACACGAGTCACGCAAACGGCCGGCATGACACGAATAGTGGGAATGACAGCAACACCACCCAACAAAGCAGGTCGTGTCTTTCTTACCGTTTCTCCACGTCCCGTTTGCTTATCGTTCGCACCCGCCTACGCCATCTTGCGCCCTGGTGGTGCAATCGCCGAGGAGTTGGTGCTGGCTCGTGTCGAGGGTGGTGGAGTGTGATCGGGATGTTTGCACAGTCAAATTCAGGGACAGCGGTTGTGACGGGTGCAAACGTGCAACACTGCAGGGTGCCAAGTCATCTCTGGACCAAGGTTGTTTTGTGTTCTCTCGAACCACACGAGGACGAATCAATAATAATCACACTGCAGTGGCGTATGTTGCCGATGAGGCACGCCTTTCCCCCCACGATCCCCGTCAAGCTCTCTCCCTGTGTGCAAGAAACCCTGAAACCATCACACGTTATTTGGCGTGCAGGTCGCTTGCAGTCATGACTACCGTCCGGTTGCTCTACCGAGACAGGGCCGATGGCGTACCTGCCGGGAGCATTCGATTCCAAGATGAGGTACAGCTACGCGTTTGTTTGAATCGAGGTTCTCGGTTAGCGGGTGGAAACTGAGGGAGTCTGCATACGTTTGCGAAAACGCTTCCCTTGGTTTGTTGTGGCCCTTGAAATGCGCGCAGCTCTTCTTTCGGGTGGACTTGGCCCGGCGGATGATTCTCATCGCGAGCACAACGCGGTATCTGTAGTGTGTGTGTACTCTTTTTCTTGCATGTAGGCTGTGCTTCGAGGAAGCGCTTGCATTGGGATAATTATGAGTTTTTGAGAGAACACGGTAGTCTTTGATGATTTACCGTCGCGGGGACTGAATGTCGTGGCTGCCATTCATTCCTTCCGCCGGGGGGGGGATGTTTCCATTGGAGTATTGTTGCGGGACAAAGTTCATCAGGGGTCATCAGATTACAAGGCCAAGACTATGGGCACCATGAATGCTGCAACCTGGGTTGGTAAGGCCTTCTCTTCTTATTTGCTCAAACCATGCTCTCTCCTCTCTCGCTCTCTCTCGGAGCAGGGAAGCGATAGGAGAAACGTGTACAATGCATGGTACACCTACGGACAGGCTTTTGGCATCGCCGTGCGTATCGGCACGAACAGACAGTAAGTGAGGCGCGTCCCCCGACGAGCTAAGCAATAACCCCGCCGGGCGGCTGTCTCGATTCTCTGTTGTTGTTTTCCTCGTTAAACGTTCAGCAGGTTGAATCGGGAGAGGAGGCCGGCGCTCTCGATGATGCGAGCTGGTTATCTCTGATATCCTTCTCTTGGCTAAACC